CGGAACCAGAGAACGAGAATGACAAGCTGCCACGAATATTTGTCCACTAAAAACGGTATCAGCTATCACCGGTTTCAGAATATCGGGAATAGATCGAATTTGTCGTGGAATATCAGAAAAGATATTGTATAGTATAACACCAATATTGCAGAGAACAGGAAAAAAATCATCTTTGCTTTGAACAGCATTCAATTTTCCTGTTGGAATTGGTAATTGAGCTGCATCATTAACGAATCGTATGATGTTTTGGCAGACTTCTTTAAGCTTATCACTGTCACGTTCGTGATTATCAGCCCTAAAATAATTGTAAAAAGCCAAAATATGGTGTGCGGAGAAGAAAGTCAAATAATAATGTTTATTTTGCGCACGATCGACCATGTCTTCCCATGTTTTTAGATCTTGTGTTAGTTTATCCAGCACATCCTGAAGTTCAGAAACACCGCGCGCCTCAATCTTCATATTCTGATAAAGAAAATGCCCTAACCGAATCAACTTTGAATTCACCTCTATTATTTGTCGTACCAAGTCAACCTGCGTAATAAACGTGTTAATATTTTTAACATCGTTTTCCCCCTTCGATCGATCGACAGAAGCTATGGATTTTCCTATAAAGAGTGCACGACTGTAAAGATCGTGTAGATCCGCTAAATTGTAGGAATCTGTTACGCGAGGTTGATTTTGCGTCGTATCATAAGTTAGCATGACCTCACACAGATCTGTCCGTTCCACGTGTTGAAATGTATAGAGACCGATGGTGACGACATTTTTGATTTTTTCTTTTGTGACCTCACCTCTATTCGCTATGTTACGATACATATTTTGTAGAGCCAGATTATGAGTGTTACAGGTGATTATCTTTGTAGTGAGTGAGGGATTTTTTTTCGATACTTCGGATAGGCAATCTAAGAATGAGTCAATCGATGATCGTGATGCTTCTTTACTCAAGGGATCTAACGCCTTGTTAACTTCTATTAAAGCAACCACGGTGTTCTCTCGAAGTAATTTCGTGCTTGATTGATCGTCGACAGCTACAGTATGATTAATGGTAAATGGGACGGGTTCAATTGATATCATGGCGTTGAATATTCTCATCATAGTTTTTCAAGTCGATAATGGAATTAAGGTTTACAGTAGTTTACCGTTAATAAGATTTGTTAGATCACGTCCAACCAATTCTTTGAATAAGAAATCAATAAATTCTTTAGCCAACGATAGTGCTTCGATGATGGACCAGCATTCCTCATATGCACTAAATCTCAAATCGTATATTAAAAAAAACTCTGATAGGCCTCCTAAAACCATATCACCGTTTTCTAAAGTGTTCAACATCTCAACCGCCCAACTTTTCTCTCCATTCTTTACATTAAATTGAGTGAGGACCTCCGAAAGGATTTTGAGATGTCTGATCGAAGACGGAATGTGAGCCAAGTATTCTATTGATTTAAGCAAGTCATCATGCGTTTGGTTGTGTTGATACCAAGTTGTATCACCGGCCATCTGGTTCAGTTCGCGTTTAACTTGTTCGTTGGCAATTCCATTCCAAAAAGGTCGCGCTTCAGAACATTTAACACGTTGCCAGTTTTTATAATCTAGGCAAATTCTTTGATATTTTTTGAGCAAATAATTCTCAATGGCCAGCGACACCAGAACCACGCTTTTTTGAGCCTCTTCGTTTGTATCTGCTTCAAATATATTTGCAAAAGTTTGTGAATCTTTGTATTGGTATGCTTTTCGGCTGACCTGGATTATCTTTTCATGAATTAACCAATAATGTGGGTGGATCACTTCAAGAAATGCCGAATTATTCTTTTTTTCGGTAAGATCGTCGAGATAAAATTGCACGCCAACAGCTTTGACACACCACTTGCTGTAGAAGGATTTGAGATTTTGGATGGTGTTTGAATGATCACGCAACTTCTCTCTGAAAGAATCTAGCAATTCGTTAGTAATTATTTTTCCTTCGGGACCGATTACTGCATTAATACAGTTGATTAATCTATCGTTTGAGTATTCAACCAATTCACTAAGTAATCCAGTCTTGATTGATTGGTTCTTCATTGTACAAACGAGCTGAGAAATCTTTTCACGTACTCTTTTAACACATGAATGATTAAATAATTCTTTAACTTCACCAGTGGCGTTCAACAAGAAGATCCAGAACTTGGCTAATTTGAAATATAATCGTCGCAAGTGATCGTCGTCGTCATTTTTATCTTGAATAACCCTCAGCATATAACAGAGCACAACTTGGCATAGACTATTAAAAAAATTGACATTTGACAATTACAGTATTAGGAAAGCATAGAACATGATTTAGTAAACTCACCTATTAGGAACATGCAAGGAAGAATCCGATGAGTTGCAAATTTGAGAAATTATTCTAATTAAAGTATCCTCATCGGTGGTATTATCCAGTGATGAATTTAGCCTTGATACCAGAAAATTTGAGAAGTCCTTGACAATATGTGACTCCAGTTCATTAATAAATGATGTGGCCAAAAACAGAAGATCTTGAGGCAAATTGGAAATTTTTTGTTCGACAATTTTCAATAAATTACTATATATATCAGTCCCTCCTTTATGAACAAATGAGATGGCAGAAAGTTGCCGATAGAAAAGGACCACAAGGTTTTCTCCATTTGATTGATTCGTAACCACGGAAATAACTGTCGTATACCATTTAACGCAAAGAGATGAAATTTTTGTTCCAAAGTTTGTATTGTTATTTCTGGATTCCAAAGCGAACCTCGACCACATTGGAAATGACAGTAGTAAACCTTCATTTCTTGAATTCGAGAGCAACTCCAATACTTGAATAATACCTGACTCCTCCTTGAATAATTGAGAAAATAGTTGAAACATAGGCTCCGAGTATTCTGTTCTCCATGGGGATCCATTGTTGCTCAATAATTCGAAAAACTTGTCGCGGAAAACAGAGGCGTATTCAGTGTGAATGTCTTTAGATATAGATCTAAAATGTTGTTCCAACTCCTGTGGATCATCAAACTGTATACATTGCCTGATTAAACCGCGCATGTAACCTTTAATCCGTTGGTCCATTCTTTCTTTTCCAATCATTTCAAGTATCAAAAAATTACATGATTCCATATTCAAAAAAGAAATTTCAATTATTTTCTGTGAGTGCAATTCGATGGATGGATGATTAGTATCAACGTCAATCACGCAATACGGAACAAATAAAGATTCAATTGAAATATCATTTACCTCTATGGCCATGTGGTAATATTGTTTGTCAATTCTGTCAAGATACGGTTTTACGTTTCTTTTAAGCTCGTTATGAAAATGAAGGATTTCGTCTCCTTGGTCATAATCGTGTTTTTCAATATTAACCAAGAATGTATATGACGGATCAACAACAGGTGCAATGGCAAACATTTTCATCCAATCAAATACATTGCGCTTTGATGAATTATGCCGGACCAAAGCCGAAGTCGCTAGGGCAAATAAAGTTTTAGCATTACTAGGGAGATTTTCGTTTTTAATTTTCTGTATCGCTTGCAATAACTCAATCGAAGGAAAATTGTCGGGTAGCAGTATTTTTTGATTATTTTTTCGAGTGACGTCAATATAATATGCCAATAAAAAGCATAAGAAGCTCTGTTGATACTCGCGAGAACTTAATACAAGCTTGTGAATTGTGTCCATATCAATTGCACCCGCAGTATAACTCGGCAGACATTTTGACAATTCTTGAAATTCCATAATTTTTTCTCTAAGATTTTTCAAGGTCACTGATTCGTGTATCGCGACAACAAATTTGCAGTCTGCTTCAATATCTGGTCTGTAAAGTTCCTTGGAATGGTTGTTCTCCCATACATCATATTGAAACCCTTTATACGACAGTATTCGGCCGACATATTCCGCATTACCTTCTGTTATAATTTGTTCTTCTGGTTGATAGAGCGCATATTTGTAATAAATCGACTGATCTCTAATCTGAATTTTAACCGGATCAGAAAACCAATATGTAGAATCGGTGTCCTTTTGACGCAACTTTACTACTGGGGTATTCCAACTTCCTAATTCTTTAACACTACCTATAACGAACGGTTGCTGGGACTTGTCAAACCCATTCGGCATGTGAACGTGAAAAATGACTTCACATATTCCATTAGTACCTAACGCTTGTAATCCATCGTCACCTTCATCTTCATGCAGCTCAGAACTATTATTTCGGGTCCACCAACTCCAATAAACACTCATCTTGACGGGATGAAGCTTTTATTCACTATAAAGTCAATAATTAAATATATCCTTGTAATATCTTATTTTTTTATTTTTCTTTAATGTGCAACAAATCAATACGTTTTGAACGGAACCGTGACATCTCTATCAATGGCCCTAAATTTAAATACTGTAGTGGGATTTTGATCATCGAGCCCTAATTTGGTTTAGTGAATTTTATCGATGATACGTTTCCCAAAAATATAAGTTAATACCGTATACAGTACAGTACAAAAATTTTTATTAAGATTATATTTACATTAATGATCTTTACCTAAAATAAATTACCTGTAATCCGAAACTATCAAATTAAAGTGACTTTGAAAACCTCTGAAGGTAAATTAAAAAAAAAAGTAAATAATAGTTGGCTACCAGATGCAGCATATTATTAACTGGAATAATGAGAAATGATGTGAAGAAATTCGAGTGTTAAAAGAAATCAGATTTTAGTAATACAATATCTGGAAATCAAATTTTACAAGCTTTGACTAATAATGTTTCTCATAATAGGGATCTTGAAATCAATACTTTATAGTATAATTATTTTATGCTAATATCTTGAATAAAACAACCTAGTTGTGAATGTTTTTACAATAATAAAAATTGAAAAAAAAAACAGAAAATGGCTTCATAAAAATTGTTCTTTAATAAATAATAGCATTGATATTATCAAAATTTCAAAATACAATATCTTTCTAGTATATTTTTATAATAAACTATAAAATCAAAATTTATTTATGCAAATCTAAATTGTTATGCTTGTAAAATCACTAGTAAAATTACTATTTTTAACAATTCTACAATTTTTTTACATGTATTTCACAAGCTTCAATATAAAAATTAATGCTTATAAAAGATCTTATATATAATATATCTAATCATGGGTCGTTGCTCATCTAAAGCGCGATTCTGTGTAACTATAAAATCTGAGAAGTTAGAGTCCGATATACGGGGGGTA